ATGTGTCAGAAAGGACATTACATTTCTAAGAAGGTCTGATAAAATTTAGGAGACAAAACGTTATTATTTAAAGTATATGAGATAAACAAGTACAATATACATCTGCATCTTCCCAATCAAAAGGTAACGATCCTATTCTTTCCTGTGTAAAAGTTAAGGAACGGATCAACACCCTTGACTAGCAGAAGTGGTACTCAAGGTATGTGCGACTTCTGTTAAACAATATAATGAATACCATTTTACTTTTAATTAATAAAAAATGCCAGTTTATTTAAATTTTTTCATTACAGCCTTCTATCAAGAAAAAGAACCAATTTTGTTAATCCCTTTACTTTGCTTTAATGGATTTTTCAAGCGATTTTATCATCTGTCTCATACGTAATTTCACCATAATACAATGCAAAAAACGTAAATTTGTTTCGCTCGTTTGTGAAATTAAATAATATCCATTAACATCAAATTACTTTTCACCCTTAATGTCGATTGAAAAATTAAAATATCAATATTTGTTTTCCAAAATAATATTCAACTATATATGGCTAACCTTTTATTTATTAATAGATAACTTACATGTAGTAATTGTTAAAATGTAGTAATTATCTCTATAAATGAAATTTAACCGTAATAAATATTTTAAAATCGGAAACAATAGAAAATTGGTGGAAAATACTATTATAATATTTCTCCATAAATTAATTTTGAATACTAGACGTCTCCAGTGAAAATCTTGATTCTCTTTACCCTTCAGTATTTCTTTTTATGTAATTTAACGTGTATTGTATGATTCCATTACATTTATATATACTAATTACGTAGTAACTTGGTCCATTTAAAAGTAAATCATACAATAACATCAAACATTGAGATTTTACATATAAAGTAAACAAATCTTTTGACTCATACATACCCCTTTTCATTTTACTGAAAAGGACTGAGGAATAGGTTACAGAAATACCACGGTATGCCGTCAGTATAGACTGGACATTCATTATGGATTAGGGCGGACAAGTCAAATATCAAATACCAAGTGACCGCTCTATGAGAGAAAGACATTCATAAAGCTAGACAAAAAAACCCCTGCAAAACAGATGCCAGTTTTCAAAACTCATTGGGTCAAGTAAACGAGGGTCATTCAAAACACATGTAATGCATATGTTTTAACAGCAAGAAAGGGCTACACAGCAAGTCAAATTTTAGTAAGACAACCACAATTTGCTTCATATTTTCAATAGTCACATTTATGTAAAGTTGCATAAAAACAATAAGAGAATCGTTTAAAATTCTTAATCAGTAAAGTTACATTTTTCCAATGCCATATTTTGATGTTATACATAATTATTGGCTTCGTTGATCTAATTGCAGACGATACGCAGTCTTCGTTCCAGAATTGGCAGAAAAATAAGACGTCACAGGACATTACAAGCAGCAATTATATGTTGTGATATACGTGTACTTTAAATTTGTGTTTTGGGAAAACGCAAAAAAAAAACCCCTCCTAAAATGAAGTTGGAATAAGATTGATTGATTGTATGGTGTTTTACGTCCCTTCAAGAATTTTCCGCTAACATAGAGACGTCACTATATACAAGCGAATTGGCTGAAATGGTGGATTATACTGTGTAATCACTAATTTTCGGGGGATTTAATTTTCGTGTTTTTTCCGAGGTACCGAGAGACCCCCGAATTTATGACCACAATAAAATGTAAAATTTCATACGTATTACTTACTAAACATTTTCCAACCACGAAATAAAATCCCCCACACACCAGTATTTTCTTCCTCAAACTTCGAAAATTTGACCCCACGAAAATATGTGATTTTTACAGTATTTGAGAAATGACAAAGTAATTTTTTGACGCTTTATTGTTCAGATTTCTCCGTGGTAATAAATTAGTGATTTTAAAGCAATGTTCCCTTAGTTAGCTCTGTTTTATGAAATTAAATGAAACTGCACACATTGACAAAGTGAATGCCGCTTCACATTATTATCTGTGAGTCTTTTATATCTTTGAAACAAAATCACACAAAGAATGAAAATTCTATAATTTTATAAAACGACCTATCTGGTATTTGTTTTTTAATTAAACCAATCATTGATCTGGGTTCCAAATGAATTAATCAAGAAGAAGCTTTAGATACCTGAGTAGCTCTGAAAATTACTTAAAAAGAGAAAAACACGTTTCTATCACTAGATTGAGTTATTCATGAACAAATGAACTCTACCTTTTTTAATAAATAAACTCAGAGTCCATCGCGCTTTTTATTAAAATACACTGTAAACACTGGTTTATTAGAAAAATGTGGTATATTATTTTTTCTTCATCCCCCCCTTTTTTTAGGTTCTTAAAGTAAAATATAACAAGAGGCCCATGGGCCACATCGCTCACCTGAGCAATGTGGCTAGAAAAAAAGCAGAAATCAGTTTATTATTGAAAAGTTTAAACTCAATAGTGGTCCCAACCAATCCTTAAAAGGGAGAGGGTATCATTTGAATAAACTTGAATCTTCACTAACTATTAGGATGCTTGCATCTTTCTTTGACTACCTGTGTCTTTATTCATTTGTCCTTTACATTTGAACGCCCTATACCCCCAGGAGTCAAGACTTGAACAAAATTGAATCTAAACTACCTGAAAATACTTCATATGAACAGGACTAATCATGGCTTTGCTATTCTTGAATAGAAGAATTTCAAAGATTCTTTCCACATGTTTCTATGTAAAACTTGGATTCCATGTTGTGGCCCCGCCCTACCCCTACGGGTCATGATTTGAATAAAATTGAATGTCCACTACCTGAGGATGCTTCCATAAAAATTTGATCATTCATGCCTTTGCTATTCTCTCTAAGTTTCATCTTTCCTGGCTGGCACAGTGGTTCTTGAGAAGAAGATTTTTAAAGAATTTTCCTATATATTTCTATGTAAAACTTTGATCGGCCAGTGTGGCCCCGTCCTACCCCCGGGGGTCATGATTTCAACAAACATGAATCTACACTACCTGAGGATACTTCCCCATAAGTTTCATCTTTCCTGGCTGGCACAGTGGTTCTTGAGAAGAAAATTTTAAAAGAATTTTCCTATATATTTCTATGTAAAACTTTGATCGGCCATTGTGGCCCCGCCCTACCCCCGGGGTCATGATTTGAACAAACTTCAATCTACACTACCTGAGGATGCTTCCCTATAAGTTTCATCTTTCCTGGCACAGAAGTCCTTGAGAAGAAGATTTTTAAAGAATTTTCCTATATATTTCTATGTAAAACTTTGATCGGCCATTGTGGCCGGGCCCGCCCCATCCCCGGGGTCATGATTTGAACAAACTTGAATCTACACTACCTGAGGATGCTTCTCTTTAAGTTTCATCTTTCCTGGCCCAGTGGTTCTTGAGAAGAAGATTTTTTAAACATACCATCAAATTTTCACTATTTCTTAATTATCTGCCCTTGAAAAAGGGCGTGGCCCTTCATTTGAACAAATTTGAATCCCCTTTACCTAAGGATACTTTGCGCCAAGTTTGGTTGAAATTGGCCCAGTGGTTCTTGAAAGAAGTCGAAAATGTGAAAAGTTAACGACGACAACGACAGACAACGGAGCCTTCGGCTCAGGTGAGCTAAAAAGGACTAATTTTGGAAAAAAAACATCTGAGATTTGTTATGTTTCATTGAAATTTCAATAGATGAATCTTCAAGATATCGCAAATATCTTGCACAATTTTCTTTCCTTTTCACAATTTCTAAAATTAAATTGTCTAAAAATAAATAAATCCTTATTATGATTCTTTTGACAAAGGTTATTCTTTAATTACCGATTTCATATTTGTTGAACCAGTACTTAACATACTTGATCTAATTGTACACGAAGAAGGTAATTTATTTTCACTTCTTCACGTTCTGTACTAGGGGTCTTGAGAACTTTTGCATTATGATATTTTTTTCAATTATTGAAAAGTTTTCGCTCTTCAAAATCATTACCATAAATGCTGTTTTGTCAATTGGTGGAACTTCATTTCGTTTGTATACATGTATTTGCAATTTAGGTAAAATCTGCATTGATCGACTTAAATGCGTTTTTGTAATTTCTTCGAGTAAAATACTCTATGTTAAGATAGAACGAAACAACGTAAACAATCGAATATTTTTAAATAGAGAAGCAGATCTGTGTGAACAGAAAAATATTATTTACATAACGATCTTAAAATCACCACAAGAGTTCGGTTATATTATGACATTAAACATGGAAAGTTTACATATAAAATCAAATTCAATTTCTAAATACCAAAGACATGACTATCGTCGAAACTGCTTGAGCATGCTCAAAAGAATATATTCTCATCTACTGTTTACATTCGCTGCAGGAAAATACAAACAATTAAAATCTTTTAAGTTTGAGACCCCATTAAGCTCCCTTTCAGATAAGAATTTCTTTCTATGTCAAGGCGGTACTGGTAGGCTCGATAAGACTCTTCACACCTACCGGCTAAATCATAGAAAAACTATAAGAAAGCTCACTTCTCCAACGTACTGAGTAGATCGAATTCACAATCTTATGTCATCATTGCTTCAAAAAAAAGAAGAGATTTCTTTGCAATGATTTTGAAATGCCAGGTGTTTCTGTACGAATTACATGGTGCCAATACAATTTCTATGGTGAGGTAGTATTTCTTGGACAAATTTGCATGTTATGTCCTTGAAAGTGAAACTGTTGTTAAGTTATGACGGGAAATATGTCTAAACTTCTCTAAATAAAAATTTATTATCAATAGCTTCAATCTTTGAAAAGTATGTGAAACTTCAAAAGTCAAAGGTCAAAATATTTCAGTACAGGTGGAAGTCTTCTCAAAGGTAAAACACATGTGAATTATGAAAGCCCTACTAGCTAGCATTCAAATGCAATGACCCAGGTTATTTTCTTTTTTTGTGAGAGACTGGCAGGTGGACAAACTGAAAGACTGAGAGACAATAAGATTAAATTTCCTACATTTCAGAAAACTCTGCTTACCTAGTTACTTCATCCTGTACCGGATCCTGAAAACAGATACTAAAATCAGTAAACTTTTGTTCAGATGGTTTATTCTTCATTAACATATGAAAAGGAGTCGATGAGTTTATTTTTTACCCTATCTATCTAGTAAAAACAATGGAACAAATAAAATTGTTGACTGATGACTCTTTGTTAGTTCTCCAAATTCCTTGATCTACATAACGATCAGCTACATGTACGCGTTATTTTCTTATAAAACTCTCAATGAATAGATATACATGTATAATTTTTTCCCCCATTTTTCATAATTTCATTTTGATTATGGTTATTAAAACATTGAATTCTTTTTTTAAAAAATTTATTTAATGTTGTGGCATACCTATAAAACCATTTCATCTTGAAAAAAGACGCTTATTCTATATTAAGGAGGCTAGGGGGTCAACAAATTATTTTTTTTTATTAACCACCTGATATAATTTAAATTTTGGGATATGATATCTTAAGCTTTCACCATATCATTCGGCAAAGAAAAATTTCATAAATTTTAATTTTAAAATTTGATTATTTTGTTATATCTTTATATGGAGCTCTTCTTCTAAAGGAGATCAAAATAGTAAAATGGCCACAACCACCCAGCACCTTTAAGAAATGTGGTTTAAAAATGGTTTAAGTGGTTTAATAGTGTAAATGTCATACTTACATCTTCCATAAGGTTTTCAAACTGAAATAAAAAGAAAACAAGTGAGTTGTTTTTTTTAAATAAACATTTACAATTGCTGTTATGTCATGAAAAAACACTGCATCTGAGTTGTGCAACTTTTCAATTTTATTCTATAATTTTTTTGCATTTGAATTCTACAAATTTCCATTAGCATTCTATAAATTTATTTATAGTGAATGAATTTTTCCTTTGTATTGGTACATTTTTAGAGGAGGTAGAACAAAGTCGAATCTCTAATCACATGAGAGGTGTGATTAGATGCCATTAAGAAATAAACATCTCCTTTAGACCTGGCATATCCGCCATGAGTCCTATGTACTGCTCATGTAGACAGAACATTTTGTAGTCAGGTTTAGTACATGTATAAATAAAAAGGTCCAAGAAGTTGTATGAGACAAATCAGCCAAAACACCGCCCTACCACCACCAAAATAAGAAGAGAGGAAATACATGGGCAAAAGACTGTAAAATACTTGAACTCTGTATACTCTCTTTCTTTCCCCTTTGAACATTCAAATTCAAATTTAACAATAGGATTTTTTAACATGAAAAGAACACGCTGATGTATACAACAAAAAATTCTTCATTCGATGGAGTAAAGCTTCATGAATCTTGTTTTGCAAGATTATGATTATAAAATTCAAAAGGTCTCGTTCATATTCAACCATTGCATTTGTGAATTTTTAATCATGAAAATCCGTTGGAAACTCGCTTTCTCGTTCATCTCCCAGTCAAAAATTTAATCACAAAAATTATATAGTACTTCTAACACATTGCAGCTGTTTACTCGATTAACCTTATTTCGGAAATCTGTCCTACATTAAACATAAATTTAAATGTAAAAAAAACAAAAAAAAAACGAAACACATTTATTTCTAGTTTTGAAACTAAAACAGGAAATTCACAAACCATCTTACATTGCATCAAAAAATCTTTAAAAGAATTTTTAAAGCAAATGAAAAAATACGTCATTAAAAGATTGTAAAGATGTGAAAATATGAAATGTCAATAAATTGTCAAATCATTCTCGACATACTCAGTAGTCTACATAGAAGCCTGTAATTTTCCGCATAATAGGACATCAGTCTTTGGTATTCATTGCATACACATGATATAAATGGAGCCTCCACATGAGCTAATATCATCATTGTTGACAACCAATGAAATTTTCAATGCCTATTTAAACTTAACTAGTTTTCTTTGGTAAATTTTTATTCTATCGTTAAGAACGACGACAAAAGCGACTTAAATACACTCAGGCAAAAACGATTCCCAGCAGAATGTTGTAGGTTTCAATAAAGACCACAGTTCAACAATGACAAAAGAATCAAAGAGTTTTCGATTTCTGGATATATATTAAATATCAAACTGGTTGTATGATTATTCCTTTAAGTATTTAACACGACTGAATCGACCTCAAATGACTTAGAAAGGGAAACTGCCATTCCTTTACAAAAATGAGTTTATGATGCTTTTATGAGACAATTTGACGTCATCCGACATGGATTTTAAACTGCATAATTCAGTTCTAAAATCTTTTTTAATTCTAAAACAAATGATGATGAGTAAAGTGCGAGTTAACAGCGGAAATTTTTTTTACGATTGAAAATTTCGAAGAAAAATACAGTTTAGAAACATTGTGATTCTTTCATGCGGATAAAAACTTTGGCAAAATGGAAATAATTTTTAACATTGTAATGAAATGCTGCTCAACCAGGAACGGTAAAATTTAATTCTACAGGACTGTAAAGCCATTGCAATCAAAATGACATTCTGTGGAACGGCATCAAAATGGGCGAAGATTGGCCTGGTGTTTCAGTATATCGGACTGGCATTGTTTTTGTCAGGATTTGGAACTATAGGATGGATGATCACTCAAACTGTTCAGGATAACAAAGACATTACAGTGGGGCTGTTCAGAATGATCGACTGTTCCTCGGGAAGTTGTTCAACATCAGATGTATCATCTCAATACCAAAATAGTAAGTATATACACTGTACTTTTTTTCTTCTTACATTTTATTTATCAACGAAAAAAATGTTATCGCCCGAAATTAAAATTCTTAACGAAACAATGCGCAGGTATGCATACTTAGTCTGTTGCTTTTCAATGCTTCCAAAAGAATAACATCTTCATACATTATTTTAAATTCTAAAAAAAAGTTAAGTATTTCATACAAGAACTTTATTTTTTTTTCCAAATGTGTGGTTTATTACTAAACATTTGTTTATAGATATCAATAAGATTAAAGTTCGTAAAGTTTGATTTACTTAAATAAGTTTATTTAACCTTAATCAGCACAGCTAATATAACAATCTTGCGTTTTATTGCAAGCGATGGGACATTAAGATTATTTCGAGTTTTTATTTATAAAAAAAAATTATATGCCAGATACCATAATAACACAGATATATTTATTAAAACATTTTTATACTATACAAAATCTCCATTCATTCAAGGCATGCATCACCCGATATATAATACAACCATAAAATACACCCATTACAGTATATTCCTTACGTTTTCTTTACAAGAGTTTAAAACTCAAAGAAACATAAAGATGTGTAGCAACCACAAATTAAAAGAAAATGGTTTATGACAGAAATCATACAAGGTCGTATTGATGGATTTTAGTCTTTGGTACCATATCAACAATCTTTAACTGAATATTGGTTTATCCAGTATATATAGAATTTCGATATTTTTTAAATAAGAGACGTAATTCACTACTGCCTCTCAAAGTGTCTTTTGAACGGTTTAATTTTCTTACTATCGAGTACCCTTTGCAGTAACTTTGCACAATTACAAAGACCCAGGCGTTTTGAAAAAAAAAATCTTACTAATATGCTAGCCGTTTAAAAGAATACAAAAAATTGGTCCTATTAGGAATAAAACAGAAAAAGATCTCACTGAATGACTTTTTGACGTTTTATAGATGGAAGGGACGCCACTCTGGGAATGATGATAGTGGTGATGATCGCCGCGGTACCCATCACCGTTCTCTACAGTATCTACGTTGCCACGGAAGCCGCCAGATCAAAATGCCTGGCATTGACCATTATTTGTATGTCATTCGCTGCAGGTAAATTCTATTTGTCATGTTTTTCCAAAAAAGTGTGTTCGAGATATAAATGATCTAGTAAGAGTCATCGAAAAATAAGACTATACGCAATGTTATTTTTAACGCCAAACATAGTCTTGAGGATATTTCTTGCTTTTCACAACTGTTCAATTTTCTTAAGTTCACAAGACATAAGGTAATTTCTAAACAAAATTTCTATTTTGTAGCAACATTTGCAGTGGCCGGGATGATTGTATATGCAGTTCTTCTGCCTACTGATTTCTATACATCCTATTCCCTGGGACTGGTCACGCTAGCTGCGGGTCTTTTTGCTACAGCTGCCTGTTTACTTATACCAGACATTCGTAATAACATTTACAAGACTACTAAACGTCGCGTCACCCCACCACCACCTTCACCAAGTTTACCACCCATAGAAAGCCCCCCTCCAAAATACAGATACAGGGAACGCACGCCCGAGTACTTCACCCCTAGTCCCCCTCCGAAGAAAAGAGGATATTGGGAGTATAAAGAATACGAGACCCCACGTCCAAAGGAACGTCGAACTCCACGCGAATTGGTGCGGGTACATTTACGTTCGACGACCCCGCTGTCCGTCGGCAACCTATCAACAACGTCGACGCCGCGTCGCTATAGAACACCACCATCAGTCCAAAGATACGACTACAAAGCAAGATAACTGGACTAGCTTCCGACTTGAGTGGAAATTATTTCGTCCACATCCTATAGCTAGCCTATTGACTGGAAGTGTTTGATTTTTTTCGATGTTGATCATGAACGTGCCAAATTTCAACATTTCAGATGTCAGAATATATGACACTTTCATAAAGTGCCTTGACATTGAAAAAACCAACAAATATTTAATTGTAGTCAAGTTCACCAACAGTTTAATACCGGTATTTGTTGTGAAATGCGTATGAAAAACCCTCGATGCTTGGTTTTGAAAACCACTTCCGATCAATTATACTGTCAAAGATAGAACAAATCTTTTATTTTCCAGATTTGTTTACAATCTACAGGTTCTTTCATTGAAATACGGAAACAGAAATGCATGTAGAGTTGTAGACTTACTAGTCATCACAAAAGTGTATATATTTTTATTTAATCTTTTTTATGGGTCTATAAAAGCATATACATCGTGATCAAAACCAGTAAATGCAACATCTGCTTGGAAATAACCTTGAAAACTCAACATTTTCATAAACAGTAATTTATACACGTTATCTAACTATAGGGAAATATATTTGATAAAAACATGAAGAAGTTTTCACACTCACAAGCAATATATTAAGTTTTTGAGCAATTTAACAATTTAATGAAGTTATATTCCTTTGAAATCCCTGCAATAACTAAAAAAATGGCCGTGTTATTTGACCTTTTCCATTTTCAAGCACACTCTTTATTCATTCTATTTACACCCTGCAGTTCGTGTTTTTTAAGTTTTCTACTAGAAAACTTTATTGGATATTTATTTCAATCTTTCTCCTAGACCATTTGAATAATTTACGACTTCACTTCTCAAACCTTCGATTTGAATGTACATGTATTGCTATTATTTATTTTATTATTATTTGTACATCGATTGTTAAATCTTGTTGAATAAATCATTGTTATCATAAAGGATGTGTTTTTAAAAATCTTTTTACAAAATGAAATCCATTAAAGGAATAAGGTTGTTAACTTCAAAATTAAAATCAGTCTTGTTTTCAAAAGAAAAAAAGTCCCTCCATTATAGACGTGTCGCAGTGTTAAATTAATTATGTCAAGACAGGATCAAATTTATTTTTAATGCATAGTGAAAACAAAGATAACCGCTGTACTTAAACGTGCAGCAGCCTACCGTTTGCTGTCAGATTTCTTTCATTTTAAAAAAAAAAAACAGACTTTAGAGTTTTCATGTTTAATTTGAAATAATTCTCATATCTATCATAACTTCTTTTGTTCTGCATGTTATGATCTTTTTTCCCCTTACGAACCCTTCAAATTTGTACATTCTTTTATACTATCAGGTAAATTACAGAATATATTGAAAAAAAGTTATCAATTGGCTAAATAAAGTAGTTTAATTTATATATACCAAATACCCTTGCAGTTAAAAGTTTTTTAAAATGCAAAAAAAGTATATATACAGAAGATTTTAATGAAAATTTCTGGATATTTAAAAATCTGTTTTCACAAACGCATGAATAAACTAATTCAGACTTGAACACTGTATTCCTATTTATTTTAATTAAATCGATTGATAATCTTGTTGAATTCATTGTTATCATAATATGTGTTAATTTTTTTTTAAAAAGAAACCATAAAAGGAATTCTTCAATTATTTTATATGTCTTGTTTTAAAAAGGATGTGTTTGTGTGTGGCAATGTATTTTTAGCATATATTTATCTAATGTGATCATTTGAAAGAACATATATATTGTGAGGGCATCTTACATAAAATATGGTGAAGGTTCAAAATCTAAGCATAAGGGGGTCACAAGGCCATTTACCGAATTATTTTGGCTTTATTTTTGCATGCCAAATATTCATGCACTTTCTTTGTTCAAAAATTAACGAAAAATTTGTAGAAAAGAAACTCTTTACGGTCACAGTAGGTCACAAGGTCATTGACCATGGTAGCATTTAAGTTTATAACTATTATGCATACCAAATATGAAGTCTCTATCTTTTATGGTTCAAAAGTTACCCAGTAAATCTAAAAATAGTTACTTAAAGGCCACAAGGTCATTGACCTTGGTGTCATTTGAAAGAGTTTAATTAGTGGAGTATGCATACCAAATATGAAGTCTCTTTCATATATGAGACAAAATGTTTCTCAATTTTCAAAATTCACAGAAAAGTTGTATTTTTCTAAAATCACGTTCTCAGTAATGTCATCTTCAAAACATTTTATTATTTTATTTTACAGTATACCCTACGGCTTATCAATTTTTAAAATCAATCTTTGGAATTTTCATGTCTAAGTTGACAAATTTAGCACATTTTGTCCTGGAAAATGGGTTTACTAGAGCTATAAAAATGTAATTACAAATTAAATTAAAAAATATTCTCTGGGCTACATAATGCAGTTTAATTTATGTAAACCAAATACCCCTGCAGTTAACCGTTTTTTAAATGCAAAATAAGTATATATGGAAGATCTTAATGATGATCTACTTTGAAGCAATGATCAGATACGGATGAAACTAATTCAGTAATACTTACTAAGTGAATTTTAATTTCTGATAACCGAATTTCTTTTAAAATATGAAAATCGAACAGTAATGTTAAAAAGGATATGACAATATATTAATCATTTATCTAATATGATCCCGTTACATTTAAATTAAATGTGTAAAAGATAATATAAACCATATAATTTTGAAAAATATAACTTTTAATATAAAATAAGATTAATATTTTTTTTGACGTAAAAACTACGGTAGAGAAATTCTTTAAGATTACACTACACTTGTGCCTGTAGCAATTTATAACTATCATCTGGCAAGTACGCCTCCATTCTTTACTAATGGATTGTAAGGGGGAACCAATTTATTAAAATATACTACAACTGACTTTATGCTCATATATTATTATAAGTAATGATGAATATTAACTTCACATCACTGGTGGTACATTACAGCTAGTATATGAAAGAAACTACCTGGTTTCCAGACGGGAGACGAATATCAAAATTTACAAATTTTCCCGCTTTTAAGAGCAAATGCATAACGAGGTTCATATCAAGCAATTAGTTGAAATATCATTTTTTTAAAATTACTATACTTTAAAAATGCATTTGATTTTGTTTAATTTGTCTGATTTGATAAATACTTGTGCTAAAATAATGTTGATGGTGTTGATACGTTAATAATCACTATGCTGCGCGAAACACAGTATTGCGCAACGGAAACTCTAGTTGTTTCTAATTACTCAGACGTCTCATTCTCTGTTGTTGTCCTTAATAATTTTCAATTCAATCATTTAATCAAATTAACAAAGTAAGACTACAGAAATTGCTAAAAAAAAAAAAAGGGTTACATTCATTATATCACGGTAGGAAAAAAAGTATATTTGTAATCTGTATGCTTGCAAAAGAAAATATGTTTTCCTGCTTGTTTTGTGCTTGTTGTTGTTTTGAAAAGATGAATAACCGATTTTCAAGTTTAATTTGAAGAAAATACAAGCTGCACTCTAAACAAATTATGTGGGAAAAAAAGTAACGAATTACCCCAAATGACCTCCTGATCGAATTCTTATGCACTTATCATAAGAAGCAGTCATTCTGATATAAAATACCCCCCCCCTTTTCCCAAAGCAATATGGAGTAAATATGGTTTTCTTGAAATGTTTATGTCAATTCTTCAAATAAAAAGTGAAAATAATATTTTAAAAAAAGAAAATTTTTAAAAAGAAAAAATTCAATTAGTTGGCTATCATATTAATAAAATAAAATTTTATTAATGACTTTGTCCACCTTCTAAAATCAGTTATCAGGCAAAATTATAGCTAGACTTTGAAGAAAAGGACTTATGCAAGCTAAATTGCTGTTTTACTTAAGCATACACTTAAGCATGCCAGTATCTGAATGTTGACATTTTAATGGGTTTAGAAATAATTCTACTAAGATTTTTAGTTGTAATAGAAAAGGATGAGCTAATTTATGAAAAATACTTAGGCCCGATTTCTTTCCTTCCAACACTGACGAATTGTGAGTGATCTTTAGAATCGCACCTCTCGTCATTTTCTTTATTACCGGTAATAGAAACTGAGAACAAATATTCCTTGTGTGAAAAATTAAATACTTCTCCTTTGAATTCTTTACTCCAAATATAAACAAATATTTCTCATTCTGTAGAGTATTTAAACGTGTTGTCATTCCTTTTGAGCGTCTATACAACCCATACAATTCATCAGTGAATATGGCTTTTCAAGTACCAGTAATCGATAGTTAAAAAGAACAACTCATAATTTTCTGCAAGTGTATGATTTGAGAACAAGAGATGAAATTCAGTTGGCAAGTTTTCTGATTTAAAAAGAAAAAACTCATCCAAGCTTTGTTTTTTTTTTTATTTTATTGGGGAGAGAGAGAGAAAGAGAGAGAAAGAGAGAGAAAGAGAGAGAGAAAGAAAGAGAGAGAGAGAGAGATATTGTCAGTATCATGCATGACACTCAATGTTTATGCCAATCGCATCTATTCAATCCATTTCCAAAATTGCAAAATAAATCATTTTTCATTTGGGTGAGGGAACAGAGCTAATCTATTGACGCACTATAAACTAGTGAAAAGCAATTAAAATTAGCAATATTAATATATTGATTATATTTGAGCAGACGTGAGTTGACATGCATACCCACCGAGCGTTTGTTTTGAATAAAACAGACTGACAGCACTCAAATACAGAATTTCAAAGTGAATTAGAAACTTGATAAATCGCATGATGTGCCTTAGTGTATAAAAGGACAAAGGAAGAACTTATGGTATTTATTAATTTTAAATCACTTTCTATAAGACATTTCTGACAACCACATTTGCTTAGTATGTAAGTAAAGAAAATTAGATGAATATGCTGTTTGCTTCTAAAACGAACGAAATTTTCCAAACTACAATAGAACTACGTTAAATTCACAAGAAATATATCCTCTCGAACATACATACATTAAATTATGATTTTATGATTATTTTTAAATTTTGATTTGATGTAATTAATTGCACATAAAGGAGAGGCAACAAGACGAATAATTATAGAAATATGTAGGGCTGCAATATAGTAAGTTATTCATTTGTACCGCCAATTCAGAACCTGGTTAATATATGCTAACTCTAAAAATTGTGTGCTTCACAACATAAATTCTTCGATTCATCACTTTATTACTACTTAATGTTCCTCAATAAAGTTGCATTAGAGTTACATCGCATTAATGGTGAATTCATTTAAAAGAAATAAATGGCTAAATTGAAATAATTTTGGTTTTTGCTTTAATGAAATAAATGTAGGTTCCTGTGTTAGGAAAATTTCAAAGAGTTGTCTTTCTTTTTCTGTTCAAAATGATATTCCAGAATACTTCTTATATCATAAAATTTTACTTAATCAAAAGGCTTTTTTCAAAAATGAAATTCAAAATGATTTATGCAACAACTCTTTTTATTTTCTAGAAATAAAAGCCTTCATATCAATTCATCTAATTAAATACATAATGCTTAGAAGAGGGAACAAAAACTTTACATTTAAATAAATAACTTGAAAGGGCTATCAATAATAGCAACAAATCTTATTTCCTTTAAAAATTTACAAGTATAATGTCTCTTTCTTTAAATCTGTAGGCCCACATAGAATGCTGATTTAAGTGTAATTTAATTAAACATTTAAATTTAAAAGCATTAAAGCAAATTTTATATGTACATGGATGAAGAGAGGGACTTCACATGCACAAGAATGCACCTTTTCCATCAATATTAAAAGTTTTCACACTCCCAATCACATAAAGAGAGATTTTTCACTGGTACTTTAAAGCAATATGAGCTGCATTTCTGAAAAAAAAATTTTGCTGTTAAAATGTGTTATTATGATTTATTTGTATGTTTTTTAAACCCTTATGATTATTAAAACCAAAATAAGATTTTAAATTGTTTCAGGAGAAATATTTCTGTACAATAGAACGTATAGTATTATATAAGAAATCAATATTGTACGGGACGACAATAATGTAATTTTGCTTCAATTAAAATTTATAAAAGTTATTCTATCACAAATATAAACAACAGAAGTTTATTATGTACTATTTTTTACGTCATTGAAGTTGTTGATTACATATTTACAACAAAATATTTTCAATGTCAAACTTGCAGCTCATATTGCTTTAAGTATACATGTAGCAGAATTCATTCAAAACCTACCACATGAGAAAAAAGAAAACTCTTGCTTTGTCCCTTAACTGAACATTACAACAACTAACAATAGTTACCAGTACTTTCATTCATAATGCTATTTCAACATTTTGTATCTCAATAAACTTGAAATAAATGGCACTATAGAGTCTAGCTACAAAACTGTAGCATTGCAGTGTTATATACAAGTCTTTGACCATAACGCTACAGACTCGTAATGCAAAAAAGGTGCAATTTTTAGTGCAAGATTTTCTGTACATGGTTGGTGAGAATTCCTCCACTTTCTAGCATTAGTCAATCCTCCACCTTTTTTGCATTACAGAATCTGTTGTGTTATGGTCAAAGACTAATAAATAAAACCAGAACGCTACAGTTCTGCAGCTATACAGAAACTGCCATGCATGTTTCCTATTTCAATGTTTAACTGACTACATATCAATGATAAATAGAGGTACTGTGAGCAATGAGCTTACTAAATGATACCCTCCGCCTCCCATATGAATATAATGGCAGTGTCCATGTTTTGCTGTGGGAAACCCAAAATATGTTATGTCATGAATCATACCATTTTTATACTCAATTTGTCTACAGTACAGAGTATTCTGTATATACATGTACCTGTACCTACTATACATGATGAATACAAAGGGCTCAAGAGGTCAATAGTAAATGCTAACTAGTCTTATAAGCACTTGATTCCACATTTGGTGTCTCTAGGGGAATTGTATTTAAGTTCTGTTCATGATTTGTTTTGTTTACTTGATTTATGAGATTGATTAGCTGTCATCTTCACCTTTAGCATGTATGGTTTTAAAATGTATAAAACATACTAGTGCATATGACTATGTACTGTATAACATATATCTAACCTAATTCATTTACTTGTCCTTTTGAGAATTTTTCATCCATTATCATATTGGGAATTTGGGACATCACTAATTTCTGAAAGAAGGCTGTAAATTTAGATCTGTAGCACTCAAATTTTTTGGCATTGACTAGGGAGGGATCTCATTTGTCAATTGTGTCAACAGCCTAGCATCACCTAACAACATTGGACCTAGGTTTTTATGGTTTTATCTGAAAGATTTAAAATTGGGATGTGAGGATCAACTCCTTACTCTGCAGCTCTAAAGCAGAATGCTCTAGCTGCCAATCTAATTAAAATTAGATGTTAGATCCGCTCGCATACTCACTACACTAACATCTAACAACATCTCATTGCAGGTCACGTCAGAGGTTAAATTCTATCAACCAATCAAATTGTCGCCTGCAAAACCATTGTATTGTTGAAGCAAATAAATCTAGAGTTGTTCCAAATTTGATCTCTGATGTGACCCTCTATGGGATGTTTTTAGATGTAAGTGTAGCGAGTATGCGAGTGGATCTAACATCTAGTTTTAATTAGTTTGCTCTAACTGCCTCACCACTTGGTTGACCATGAATACATGTATCCACTAAAACAACAATCAGACATTAAATAACAGTATACAGGCCCCTTCGAAGCAATTTCAGTTGGGGGGTGGGACTTATATTTTTAGTTAGGGGCACCATATATTCCTTGACAAGCAAAAAAAAAGGTCATCAGACGTTTTAATTGAGGGGGCATGAGCATATACATGTAGTATCTATGTTTTCTGTAGTATATAATATATCGGTAAAATTATTGGGGGGGGAGGGGGTACCACCCACTACTGCCATTTTATAGAATATAGAGCAGTAATGATCATTCTTTTTTTTCCATTTTTCATTTATTTTTTAGCAATATATGTGTAAATGCACCTGTCTATGAGAGAGGTGCTTCTGAAAACATTTTCATGATCACAATTCGTACCTCCACAGAAATATCTCTTTCCACACTGTATCTTGTTCGCAGGTACTTTCTCCTATAAAATAAAGCAACATTATACAAGGTATAAGGAATACATAATTTACATAAATATTAACCAGTAAATATACTAAATAATATGTCTCGGGCAGTCAGGTGCACAGTTATTTCAAATACTGCTTAATCCATTAAATACAATTGCACACTCATTTAACATGACTTGATTTTTCGATGCAACCATCTCCTTCTGGCTTCATACTTCCGTTTTGTTAGAATACAATGTACACTTACGATGGGTCTATGCTTTGTTTGAGGTTCTTAAAACCATTCTGCCACCTCAAATGCTATCAGCATGATTTCAACCTTTTAAACATGTGCGATAATGGCATCATAATGCCCAACATTGGTGCCAGGCACATTAATGGAAGAAGAAGAACTATCGATTTCATGAATTGGTTTCTGTGTACGTGTCGTAATTAATTCAAACTACGCTGTTTCATGGATAGTGAAACAAGTATCGGATATTGCTACAGATTCAACTATCATTCAAAATGTATGTCTGTTTTAATTAAAGTGCAGAAATTGAGATAAATTTGAAAGAGGAAATTCGGTACCAAAATTAAAAACAACTTGACGAATATATCGATCACTTTAAATGAATTGTTTATCATATCCCGCCTTGTAAATGCAAAGCATGAATCTACAAATCACTACCTTTTACTTGAGATGCCAAAGCATCTCGCTATGCAGTTTCCCATCCTAAACCACAGTCAGAAATTGTGTTAATCGACCTGTCATCTTCCCATGACTGGCCTGGCTTTGCAGACATAAACTTCCGCCTTTCTTGTATTTATTTGCATCCTGATCCCGATTAAAATCTATATTACAAAGGGATTTTTTATTACCTGCGAAAATGAAGTCCCATCCCCTCCCGCTTTTCTTTTGATAAAGTCAAAGGTGAAATCTTTTTTTAATGTACTGAATTAAAGAGGATCATCGTCGGGTTGTAAATACTTCAGTCTTTTTTAATTTTTATTATAAAATGGGAGGTAAAACATTACCAATCTTAAAGAGATGAAAATTTGATATGTATATTATTTAAATCCTGAGGAGTTTAAGATGTGCTTTTTAAATTTGATTAAACACTAAGCCACTCAAACCATATTAAAGGAGATTTGGTAATGAAATAATCACTGGTGCTTAATTTTATACACGAATCACGTAGAATCCCTGCTTTGTTTACTTGTAGGTCTTTGCTGACACTATCAGCATGACTTTACATCTCATCGTCTCCAAGCATAGGCGTCGGAACCGGGGGGGGGGGGGGGGGGCTAGGGGGGCTTTGCCCCCTCCCCCCACTTTTTTCCAAATATATACTTATAGTAAAGACATTGAACATATTTTCGTAGGCTAAGCCCCCCACTTTCCACAGATACGTCTTAGTATATAAGGTTAAAAATGGGGAAAGTGGTGGTGTTTGGAAGAAAATTTTTGGTACTGAAGTTCGAACCTACCCCCCCCCCTCCCCCCACGAAATAGGATTTTCGTGTTTTGGAAATAGACATTTCCCTTTTGTTGTTTTGTTTTTTTTGTTTTTTTTTTTTGGCTTGTCAGGTTTTTTTTGAAGGTACAATTTTTTTTTTACACTTAGCCCCCCACTTTCAATTTGCTTCCGACGCCAATGCCAAGTTCTTTATTCAGTTGAAACTGCTTAATGGCTGTGTGACGCATACATAGGGTATGTCTTTGCTTGTCTTCAGCTCCACCCCTGGCCAGCACTTTGCTGCGAAAGAGTTAGCAAAATATGTTAAACTAGTAGTCTCTGCCAGGTATTGCCTTTAGGTAGCAGATGGACATTGGGTACCCCCTTACAGCCCCCCCCCCCACTTTTTTTTCCCAACATTACTTTGACTATAGGAAATGTTCACTGAAAGGTTGGTTGGTCCCCACCTTATTATAGGAAATTGATATCATGGAAAATTTAGTTTAGGAAGCAAAATAATTGGTACTGAAAGGAGTTGTCATTGGAAAAAGTTGGCTTCTACCCCCCCCCCCCCTCCCACGAAAGAGGATTTTCGAGTTTGGGCAATTTTCTTTTCTTTTTTAGCTTGTCAACTTTTTCAGATTAGTAAAAAAAAATTTTTCTCTGGCTGGCCCCCACACTTTCAAAAACGATGCTACGTGGCTGTATGAGAAGGATATGGAGATAACGAACAGTATTCAATCTCAAAGTCCATTAAACAATATACAAAATAAGAACAGAGCAAACACGGACTTCCGAAACATCAGAGGCGGGATCAGGTGCCATGGAGGAGTAAGCATCCCCTGCCGACCGGTCACACCCGCCGTGTGCTCGTTGTCATGATCAGGAAATAACTGGACAAATCCGTCGTCAATTCAGTGTATAAATAATGGACTAACAATTGGTATGAAGAACGTTAGTCAGCATTTGACTCAGTGATAAATTGTAATTGCTGACAAGGTCATTGTATCGACCATAGAACTTACGAAATGATGACTTTAAACGATACTGTTGATATTCTTGTTTCATCAACTTGCTTGTCAATAATTTACCTCGTTTAAGAAATTGTTCATACGTAGAGCACGCTCTTGCGTATCGAATCAACTGAGATATTTATACTCCGTATGCAGGTGATGAAGGTATATTGCTGCATAAGTAAGGGAAGTTGACGATAGAAAAGTTAAAGTCATCACGTTTATCATATAGCTTGGTTGTTAGACTACCATTAGTGTCTTTTTCAAGTAAAATATCCAAGTATGAAGCAGAAGTGTCGGACTCTGTGGTATCTTTTATCTCAAGCTCACCAGGATAATCGTATCGATGTAGGAATGGAAATTATCATTATTAATTGACAATACGTCGTCGATATATCTAAATGTCGAGTTGAAGGCCACAGCAAGTGTTTTCTTCTTTTCACGCATAAGATTTTGCATAAATTTTGCTTCATATGAATATAAAAATAAGTCTGCTAATAACGGAGCGCAATTTGTACCCATGGGAATTCCAATAGATTGTTGGAATACCTGGTCTCCAAAAACCACATAGATATTGTCAATCAGAAAATCAAGCATCTTCTTGATGTCAACTTCAGAGTACTTATGTGTGTATCATAACAGCAAGGTTCAACTCAGCTTTTGCCAAACTTACTGCAGTGGTATGGTCTGCACCAACAGATGATGAGAAAGTCTCCTTTTACAACAGCTTACAAGAGATTATAGACAAGACAACATCTCACGATGTCCAGCTTATCTTCGGACACTTAAATGCAAAAGTTGAGAAAAGCAACCAAGGCTCCAGCCATAAAAACATATAGAAAAGGTTAAAAAGGCAATGGGGAAATTAAACAAAAGAACCAAGGGCCACAGCGCTCACCTGAACACATCAGCTAGGAAAAAGCACATACTATGATTTGGATGAACTAGAATCTACACTACTTGAGGATAATTCTACATAAATATTACTAATCAGGGCTTTGAAGTACTTGAAAAGAAGATTTTAAAAGGTTTCCCTAGAATTTTTGGTCGGCCATTTTGGCCCTACCCTACCCCCGGGGGTCATGATTTGAACAAACTTGAATCTACACTACTTGAGGATAATTTCACACGAGTTTCATCTTTCCTGGCCCAGTGGTTCTTGAGAAGAAGATTTTTAAAGATTTTTCCTATATATTCCTAGGTAAAACTTTGATCGGCCTTTTTGGCCCCACCCTACCCCCGGGGGTCATGATTTGAACAAACCTGAATCTACACTACCTGAGGATAATTTCACATGACTTTCATCTTTCCCGTCCCAGTGGTTCTTGAGAAGACTTTTAAAGATTTTTCCAATATATTCCTATGTATAACTTTGATCGGCCATTTTGGCCCCACCCTACCTCTGGGGTCATGATTTGAACAAACTTGAATTTACACTATCTGAGGATGATTCCACATGAGTTTCATCTTTCCTGGCCAAGAGGTTCTTGAGAAGAAAATTTTTAAAGATTTTTCCTATATTTCCTATGTAAAACTTTGATCGGCCATTTTGGACCCACCCTACCCCCGGGGGTCATGATTTGAACAAACTTGAATCTACACTACCTGAGGATGATTCCACATGAGTTTCACCTTTCCTGGTCCAGTCGTTCTTGAGAAGAAGCTTTTTTAAAAATGCCCTTAATTTTTCTCAAATTCATAATTATCCCCCCTTGGAAAAGGGCGTGGCCCTTTATTTGAACAAACTTGAATCCCCTTTACCCAAGGATACTTTGTAGCAAGTTTGATTGAAATTGGCCCAGTGGTTCTCGAGAAGAAGATGAAAATGTGAAAAGTTAACAACAATGACGACAACGACGACAGACTACGGACAAATTTTGATCAGAAAAGCTCACTTGAGCCTATCTCTCAGGTGAGCTAAACAAGAGGCCCATGGGCCACATCGCTCACCTGAGAAGCTTTGGCCATTCTGTTCTTTACCAGATTTCCCCCTTGTAATACATATTGTGACCCCACCCTATCCCACTGATCATAATTTAAACAATTTGAAATCTACACTAACCCAGTATGCTTCCACATAAGTTTCAGCTTTTCTGGCCCAGTGGTTCTTGAGAAGAAGATTTTCAAAGATTTTTCCTATATACTCCTATGTAAAATTTTGATGGGCAATTGTGGCCCCACCCTACCCCTGGGGGTCATGATTAGAACAATTTAGAATCTACACTACCCCAGTATGCTTCCACATAAGTTTCAGCTTTACTGACCCAGTGGTTCTTGAGAAGAAGATTTTTAAAGATTTTTCCTATATATTTCTATGTAAAACTTTGATTCCCCATTGTCGCCCCGCCCTTCCTCGGGGGGGTCATGATTTGAACAATTTAGAATCTACACTACCCTAGGATGCTTCCACATAAGTTTCAACTTTTCTGGCCCAGTGGTTCTTGAGAAGAAGATTTTTTAATGACCCAACCCTTTTTTTATCTTTTCTTGATTATCTCCCCTTTTGAGGGGACATGGCCCTTCATTTTAACAATTTATATTCCCCTTCACCCAAGGATGCTTTGTACCAAGTTTGGTCAAAATTGGCCCAGTGGTTCTTGAGAAGAAGTCGAAAATGTGAAAAGTTTACAGACGGACGGACAGCTAGACGGACAAAATGTGATCAGAAAAGCTCACTTGAGCAGGTGAGCTAAAAATCACCTCCATTTCTCTTAAGCTTAGATATTCCGACAATCTCTGATTTACCTCTCTTGATATTTTTGCTTTAAAATCCAGTCTTTAAAAAAAAAATTTTATTTAAAAATATAATATACAGATAGAAAAAACATTCCAAAAAAATAACTTAGTATATGAAAAGATGTACAATAATGTATTAGCACTCTGAGCTTTCTCCAAATGCCTTATTACAAATTTAACAGAGTTAACTTTGAGTGATCTGCTGTGAATATGTCAGGAGTTATCCTTTATGAGTTATGTACTCAGCACGGTCCACTGAATTCTGGAATCAAGCTATTTACTGTGTCCATCATTTTGTAATAACAACATACTCAAGCAATATCCATTAAATTCTGTGAGTTAAGCTGTTTAGCGTTTCCATCACTGTGTTGATAAGAGTTACTCAGCACAGTGCACTGAATCCTACAAATTAAGATATTTAGTGAGTCCAACTGTCCATCACTTTATTATAACAATGTACTCGGCACAGTTCGTTGAATTCTGTGAGGTAAGCTATTTAGTGTGTCCACCACTTTCTGATAACAATGTACTCAGCACAGTCCATTGAATTCTGTGAGTTAAGCTCTTTAGTGTGTCCATCACTTTCTGATAACAATGTACTCAACACAGTCCATTGAATTCTGTGAGGTAAGCTGTTTAGTGTGTCCATCACTTTCTGATAACAATGTACTCAGCACAGTCCATTGAATTCTGTGAGTTAAGCTCTTTAGTGTGTCCATCACTTGCAGCCCAAACCTTAATCTCTGCACTATTGTTGAAGCATATTTGTCTGCTGTCAAAGAAACAAAATTGATGGCAGTCAGTCTGTAAAGATAACAAATAATGAGGGATAAAAAAATATTAATAAAATCTTAATAAATGAAAAAAGGCTAACATATTTTCACAGATTAGAAGGAGTTTGCAGAGCTTGTATCTTACCTTTATTTTCAGGTTCTAGCTGATCTCTTTGGACTCTCACAGAAACTTGGCAAGCTGTTTTTGGAAACAGGATCAATGCCAGCATAAACCCCTACCTATTAACAAAAAAAGAAACTAGAAATTCAAGAAATGCGAGTGTCATAATCTCTTTTAATTCACATAACACAAGGTCTGGAGCTTGACATACAACTCATGAACTGACTTACCAAAGATTTCAGGTTAGACAGTAGTTAGTCCTTCATCTCCAGACTTGTTAACAAGTTGAGGTCAGTCTCATCTTCTGCCTGTTAACAAAGAAAAATCTAAAATCATTGAAAATAATGAAGGAGACCTTGTGCCAAAATGTTCACCTGAATCATCTTGACCTTGTCATCAGAAGAAAAAAAAATCTTAATTCATATTTTTACTAATCCTAGTCCAAAGGGATCATGATGTAACCTAATTTGAATCAAGACATCCTCAGGATGCTTTAGATTGCAACATGGTTGCTGTTGTGCTGCAGAAGTAAATCACCCTGAACCTATGATTTGAATAAGTGTATAAAGAAAATTTGAAAATCGCAAAAAAAGAGCTTTTTACTCACTCCATTATCAGATATTGGCTGCTGGACAAAGCATGGCAATGGACTCTTCTTCTTCTCTTGGTCAGCACTGGTCTTCTTCCTTCTTCCCTTGTCAAATCCCTTTAAAATACTTGATGGAGAGAAGATAAGCAATAATTCAAAGCAATGTAATAATCAAAGAAACTCAAATGATCATAATCATTACAACATTATTAGCTGGAAAATCAAAGAGCAAATTAAGACAATAAGGTTATGATAGGAATAAGGTGGATTATTGGGGCAAGGAGAGGAATGCATAGTTACTTTAGAGAAGGGAGGACAAAAATACTTCAGAAATAATTAAACAAAAAGTACTTGTAAGACTTCTGCTTGTTCAAGTGGGTCCTGATGAAGTTCCTTAGGTAAAAAAAAAGGAGTACAAATATTCTCCTCATGGCTGCAGCGGAATGGGAGAGGGACTCTTCCTCACTTAAAATTCCTAGTCAGTTTTAACTTTCTTCTGCTTAAAAAGATAAAACAGAGACATAAAAGGGGAAACACTTTCACTTCATATCAAGTGAGAAGCTTCAGTAAAAAGCAGCTTGTTGCTTACCACTTTTGAAACACAATGCCTTCAAAACACAGACAGGAATAGACTCTTATATTAATGACCTTGGTCCTCCATTGTTGTTCCTCTTCTGAATAAAAGAGGAACTGAAATCTGTCGAAAGTCCAGAGGTTAAAGCTTGGTACAGCCAACATCAATTGGCAAGCAAAGATACAAGAAGTCAAGTCTGAATCTTACTCTGCTTTCTGCTGATGTCTGCAGTTCAATGGGAGAGGGAGTCTTCCTCACTTCAGGATCCTGTTCAACCTTAACATTATTCTGCTTAAAAAGATAAAAACAGACACCAAAAGGAGATCATTGGCACTTCATACCAAGTGAGAAGATTTCTAAAATAAACAAGTGGCCAATGGCCGATATGCTCACCTAAGCATTTGCACAAATTAGTCCAGTATTGAAAAGTATAAATTTTTGAAAAACTACCTTGAGACATTTTCATATCATTTATTATAACAATGGCTTAGCTGTTCTTGAACATAAGATTTTTTTTCTATATATTCCTTTGTTAAAATTTTATCCCCATTGATGCCCCTCCCTGCCCCCTGGAATCAAGATTTGGACAAATGTGAATCTACACTACCTAAGGATGCTCCCATATCAATATGACTACATATGGCTTTAGTATTATCGAGAGGACGTTTCCTATATATTCTCCTGTCCATTTTGATCCACCATTGGGGCTCTGCCCTACACACGGGAGTCATGATTTGAACAAACTTAAATCTACGCTACATGAAGATGCTAGCGTATACATATTACCAGTCATGACATTTTTGTTTCTGAGATTTCTCAAGATATTACCAATATAATCCAACGTAAAACTTTGATTGTCCATTGTGGTCCCCGGTAGACGTGATTTGAACAAAATGAAATCTTCACTACCAAAAAGGATGATCTGATATCATTTATGACTAATTGTGGCTTGAGAAAAAAAAAATTATGTATATCCCTTGGTACATACTATAGATTCCTAAATATATGCGTGGAAGTAATTATCGCGTAATTTCTCGAGGGGCATCAAACTTAAAATTAAATTACTCGCCTTTATTTTTATGGAGCTGAAATCTATGTAAAATCTTTTAACCAACCATCCATTCGAATTATAATTCTCGTGATTTGAGAGTGAAAAGCCTATTCGCGATAATAATTACATGCGGAAAATAAGGAATCTACGGTGTAATATATATTTTTGATCCCCTATTCTGACCCCAACATGGGGTCTTAATTTGACTTTGAATCTACACTACCTGAGGATGATGCCACATAAGAGTCTCTTTCCTGTCTCAGTGGTTCTTGAAAAGAAGATTTTTAAAAGATGTCCTTAATTTTTCACTTATTTGTAGTAATCTTCCGTTTGAAGAGGGAGTGGGCCTTCATTTGAATAAACTTAAATCCCATAATGGCATTTATCCAAGGATACTCTTTGCCAAGTTTCCTTGAATTTTGACAAAGATGAAAATGGGAAATTTTACAAAAAAGATGACAAAGACATAAAATGAACAAAGGTTCACTTCTTTTAAAAACCAGCACTTATATCAATTGATTCTTCTACTAAATAGGGGTTGTGATCAGTTTTCTTTCCTAGATAAGATGTTTATCAATGCTTTTGAGACTCATCTTCCCGTGCGCCCTTGCGAACTTAGCCTGGGACCAAATGGTACCCAGTATCCGTCTGCTTCCACGTGGAGGCATCGCATAGGACTTGTTGTGGAGAGGCTATGTTCTGGCAGGGGAAGACATAAAAATTCCTTCCCTTTTCACATTGCTGCTAGCCAGCGGTGATGGATGAAAGCGAGAGGTGACAAGCACACACACACTAACACCAACACACTAGACGCATCACACAACATTTAGCAGACGTTAGTAGTTTTAGTAGCTTGTTACTTGTGCAGGGTTCTCCATCGTTTGAAATTTTACTGTGTTGTAGAGTTTACGCAAAGCACTAAAATTTCACGGTATTTTAGCGATCGAATTTGCAACTGAATCACTATTTATTATTATTTAACTTAAGAATACATGCACACACTTTTAAAAAAAAAATTGCTAATTCGTTACAAAAATAGTATGGTCGAACATATTAGCACATATTGTGAAATGTAGAGGAAATTCTTGTCGATAAAGTTAAACTACTTACAATTTTTTAAAGCAAATTTGTTTTTTTGTCAATTTTCTTGATCAAATTAAGGAATTACAAAAAAAAGAAACTTCGGAATAGTAAAATACTTTTAAAAGTTCCTTGAAAATTTAAAACTACCGGTATTTATTTACATCAAGTAAATGATTTCGGTACAGTGTTATGTTTGATTTACATTGCCAACATACTGTAAATCACTTTTTATTTGTGTGAACTTTATTTTTGTGTAATTACGCAAGATAGTGTGCTAGCCAAAATTTAATTCTCGCGTATAATAGTATTCCTTAAAATTATACAGAGCAATGACCACAATTCATGAAATTTTGTCTCGCTTATCAAGAGTCAATGACTATCTCGCAAATCAAGGTGTCGCGAAAATTTAGTGATCTACAGTAATTCTAGAGCCATTGCTCTATAGAAAAGACATTTAAATATATTTCTAAAAATAATACAATGTACTTTAATTGCAACTACTAGTACCAATTAACCGTTACATGGAAGTATGAGAACCAATTATTTGCCTTTGTTCTTTCATGCGTAAAGTCTGATGAGGGTGTAGGAAATAATTGATTACGCAAGGTGAAACCGTAATTAAGTGCTTTAGATATCTTTTAGAATTGAAAGACGGTAGAATTGTTTGATTAATAATGTTTCAGATACAGAGAATTTGTATGTTTCGATTTTCTTATTATCACAGATCTTACTGTGTTGGCAAAATTTTTCCTGTTCACACAGATAAAATTTGAATCATTACTGTGTCGGAGAACATTTTTCTGTGTCGGGACCAACACAGTAAAACAGCTCATGGAGAACCCTGCTTGTTAGCGTGTTAATCATGCAAACCTATCCACCACAAGCACTAATCATGCACTAACTAACAAATACCTTAATTACAATAACAACCTACACTCCTAAAGAACTCTAAGCTGTCTAACTAACAACTAAAGCCTACTTACTAACTCAAACTACAACACCAAACTAAACCTAACACTAAGAAACACCTTGGTAATGCTACTTACAACTACTATACACTTCTTACCTTTCAACTGCAGCAGGAAACACTCCAGACTGACCATCAAAGGTGGCCATCGCGAACAACCGATGGGACCCATAAACACGAAGGACCACCTAGACCCCTAATGATAAATATCATAAATGTTAGTACTCAGTAGGTGTGTCAAAATAATAATAAAACAAACTTACCTCTGCTATTCTCTAACTTTTGAGAAATACCTCCATTCCAGCATTGTTGGCATGTTGTTCCAATCCAATATGTCCAGCTTCCTCCAAATGCTTATTCCGCCATCTTCAACGATGCAGAGTCAGCAACCTCCTTATTCAACCACTACAATGTACCTAACAATAAATCCACATGAGTTTCATCTTTCCTTGCAAACTGATTTGAGACTTTTCACAAATTAAAATAGGCATCCTTCCTCATAATTACTATGTACATAATTCATTGGTTTAATACCCAGGAGCAGAGGAGGAGATTTTTAAAGAATATATGTATTTTCACTATATAATCAATAGAGCCCCGCCCTTACACCAGAACCGTCGACCCAGGGGCTATGAAATTCATAATCTTGGAAGAGGCAGCCTTATTCAATATAAGTATGTACTTGGTTAGTTTATTTCATACCCAGGAGCAGAGTACAAGATTTTAATGAATTAATGTATTTTCACTATATAATCAATAGAGCCCTGCCCTAACTCCAAAACACTCAACACAGAGGCCATAAAATTCACAATTTTGAAAGAGGCATTCTGGCTCATCATAACTATGTACTTAGTTTGTTTAATACCCAGTAGTAGAAAAGATTTTCAAAAAATTATGCCTTTTCACTAAATAATCAATAGAGCTCCACTCTAACACCAGATTTCCTGACCCAGGGTCTATGAGATTCACAATTTTGGAAGAGACTTTCTTGCTCATCATAACTATGTACATGATTAGTTTGTTATCCAGGAGAAGAGAAAATTTTCAAAGAAAAAATGCAATTTCACTACTGTTTGCCCCCGTTTTATCTTCTCCCCATCTGCCCTACACACATGAGGGTGAATTTAAAACAGGGTTGCATTTGTAAAACACAGAATGATTTCTTAGAAAGAATTCTAACTAGGCAAATATAAAACTGGGCAAAATATTTTCCATGTGTGAAAGGGTGAAAATAACATGGAGCGAAAATAACCCTGTATAAAGTGTATATCAAACAAACTTCACCCTTACAACAGAACCCCTGACCCTGGGACCAAATGAAATTTGCAATTTTGAAAGAGGCATCCTTATTCAACATAATTATGTACCTGGTTAGTTTATCTATTGTCCATGAGTAGAGAAGATTTTTAAAGAAATAATGCACTCTTTTCACTATTTAATTAATTTATCCCTGCCCTTGACCCCTGATCAAGGGGCCATGAATTTCACATTTTTGGTAGAGGACTCAAAGTTGATTACAATCATGCAAACAGACTGCTTAATAAGTCCAGGAATAAAGAAGAAGATTTTTAAAGATTGTCCCACCCCTCAGGCCTTAGGGGGAGGGGGGGGGGGGGGGGGGAGAGCATGAAATTCACAATTTTTCTTCACATTCACCCATAAATGCTTAATCCCAAAACTGGTTGAAATTGGTTGAGCGGTTAAAGGAAACTGAAAATAAAAGTGAGGTAAAGCCTAACAAAGCCAACATCAATTGGAAAGCAAGAATATTGGGAAAAGGTGCAAAGAGATCGGGTATGAATCTTACCGCACTTTCTGCTCATGAATGCTGTTAAATGGGAGAGGGACTGTTCATTACTTCAGGATCCTGGTCAGCCTAAACTTTCTTCTGCTTAAAAAGAAAAAACAAACACATCAAAGGGGAATCACTCTCATTCCCTAACAAGTGACAAACTTCATTTAAATAAGAAATTTGTTACTCATCACTTTGGGATATGTTGGCTGCTGTGTAGAGATGGGAAATGGACTCGTCATCTCGTCTCCACCTGTTGGTCGACCTTGCTCCTCCATCGTTGTTCCTCTTCAGAATCTCTGAAAGTATAAAACTGGCACAATGTTAGTAAAACTTCAAAACAATGCAAAAAGTCACGAAAAGTTACTTACCACTTTGGGCCATGTTGGCTGCTGTATAGAGATGGGAAATGGACTCGTCATCTCGTCTCCTTCTGTTGGTCGACCCTGCTCCTCCATCGTTGTTCCTCTTCCGAGTCTCTGAAAGTATAAAACTGGCACAATGTTAGTAAAACTTCAAAACAATGCAAAAAATCACGAAAAGTTACTTACCACTTTGGAACATGTTGGCTGCTGTATAGAGATGGGAAATGGACTCGTCATCTCGTCTCCTTCTGTTGGTCGACCTTGCTCCTCCATCGTTGTTCCTCCTCCGAGTCCCTGAAAGTATAAAACTGGCACAATGTTAGTAAAACTTCAAAACAATGCAACAAATCACGAAAAGTTACTTACCACTTTGGGCCATGTTGGCTGCTGTATAGAGATGGGAAATGGACTCGTCATCTCGTCTCCACCTGTTGGTCGACCCTGCTCCTCCATCGTTGTTCCTCCTCTGAAACCCTGAAAGTATAAAACTGGCACAATGTTAGTAAAACTCCAAAACAATGCAAAAAGTCACGAAAAGTTACTTACCACTTTGGGCCATGTTGGCTGCTGTACAGAGATGGGAAATGGACTCGTCATCTCGTCTCCACTTGTTGGTCGACCTTGCTCCTCCATCGTTGTTCCTCTTCCGAATCCCTGAAAGTATAAAACTGGCACAATGTTAGTAAAACTTCAAATCAATGCAAAGTCACGAAAAGTTACTTACCACTTTGGGCAATGTTGGCTGCTGTACAGAGATGGGAAATGGACTCGTCATCTCGTCTTCCTCTGTTGGTCGACCCTGCTCCTCCATCGTTGTTCCTCTTCCAAAACCCTGAAAGTATAAAACTGGCACAATGTTAGTAAAACTTCAAAACAATGCAAAAAGTCACGAAAAGTTACTTACCACTTTGGGCAATGTTGGCTGCTGTACAGAGATGGGAAATGGACTCGACATATCGTCTCCTTCTGTTGGTCGACCCTGCTCCTCCATCGTTGTTCCTCTTCTGAAACCCTGAAAGTATAAAACTGGCACAATGTTAGTAAAACTTCAAAACAATGCAAAAAGTCACGAAAAGTTACTTACCACTTTGGGCCATGTTGGCTGCTGTATAGAGATGGGAAATGGACTCGTCATCTCCTCTCCTTCTGTTGGTCGACCCTGCTCCTCCATCGTTGTTCCTCTTCTGAAACCCTGAAAGTATAAAACTGGCACAATGTTAGTAAAACTTCAAAACAATGCAAAAAGTCACGAAAAGTTACTTACCACTTTGAGCCATGTTGGCTGCTGTACAGAGATGGGAAATGGACTCGTCATCTCGTCTCCACTTGTTGGTCGACCTTGCTCCTCCATCGTTGTTCCTCTTCCGAATCCCTGAAAGTATAAAACTGGCACAATGTTAGTAAAACTTCAAATCAATGCAAAGTCACGAAAAGTTACTTACCACTTTGGGCAATGTTGGCTGCTGTATAGAGATGGGAAATGGACTCGTCATATCGTCTTCCTCTGTTGGTCGACCCTGCTCCTCCATCGTTGTTCCTCTTCCGAAACCCTGAAAGTATAAAACTGGCACAATGTTAGTAAAACTTCAAAACAATGCAAAAAGTCACGAAAAGTTACTTACCACTTTGGGCCATGTTGGCTGCTGTGTAGAGATGGGAAATGGACTCGTCATCTCGTCTCCTTCTGTTGGTCGACCCTGCTCCTCCATCGTTGTTCCTCTTCTGAAACCCTGAAAGTATAAAACTGGCACAATGTTAGTAAAACTTCAAAACAATGCAAAAAGTCACGAAAAGTTACTTACCACTTTGAGCCATGTTGGCTGCTGTACAGAGATGGGAAATGGACTCGTCATCTCGTCTCCACCTGTTGGTCGACCTTGCTCCTCCATCGTTGTTCCTCTTCCGAATCCCTGAAAGTATAAAACTGGCACAATGTTAGAAAAACTTCAAAACAATGCAAAAAGTCACGAAAAGTTACTTACTACTTTGGGCCATGTTGGCTGCTGTACAGAGATGGGAAATGGACTCGTCATCTCGTCTCCACCTGTTGGTCGACCTTGCTCCTCCATCGTTGTTCCTCTTCCGAATCCCTGAAAGTATAAAACTGGCACAATGTTAGTAAAACTTCAAAACAATGCAACAAATCACGAAAAGTTACTTACCACTTTGAGCTATGTTGGCTGCTGTATAGAGATGGGAAATGGACTCATCATCTCGTCTCCTTCTGTTGGTCGACCTTACTCCTCCATCGTTGTTCCTTTTCTGAAACCCTGAAAGTATAAAACTGGCACAATGTTAGTAAAACTTCAAAACAATGCAAAAAGTCACGAAAAGTTACTTACCACTTTGGGCCATGTTGGCTGCTGTACAGAGATGGGAAATGGACTCGTCATCTCGTCTCCACCTGTTGGTCGACCTTGCTCCTCCATCGTTGTTCTTCTTCCGAATCCCTGAAAGTATAAAACTGGCACAATGTTAGTAAAACTTCAAAACAATGCAAAAAGTCACGAAAAGTTACTTACCACTTTGGGCCATGTTGGCTGCTGTATAGAGATGGGAAATGGACTCGTCATCTCGTCTCCTTCTGTTGGTCGACCTTACTCCTCCATCGTTGTTCCTCTTCCGAGTCCCTGAAAGTATAAAACTGGCACAATGTTAGTAAAACTTCAAAACAATGCAAAAAGTCAGGAAAAGTTACTTACCACTTTGGGCCATGTTGGCTGCTGTACAGAGATGGGGAATGGACTCGTCATCTCGTCTCCACCTGTTGGTCGACCTTGCTCCTCCATCGTTGTTCCTCTTCCGAATCCCTGAAAGTATAAAACTGGCACAATGTTAGTAAAACTTCAAAACAATGCAAAAAGTCACGAAAAGTTACTTACCACTTTGGGCCATGTTGGCTGCTGTACAGAGATGGGAAATGGACTTGTCATCACGTCTCCACCTGTTGGTCGACCTTGCTCCTCCATCGTTGTTCCTCTTCCAATCCCTGAAAGTATAAAACTGGCACAATGTTAGTAAAACTTCAAAACAATGCAACAAATCACGAAGAGTTACTTACCACTTTGGGCCATGTTGGCTGCTGTGTAGAGATGGGAAATGGACTCGTCATCTCATCTCCTTCTGTTGGTCGACCTTGCTCCTCCATCGTTGTTCCTCTTCCGAATCCCTGAAAGTATAAAACTGGCACAAGGTTAGTAAAACTTCAAAATATGCAACAAATCACAAAAAGTTACTTACCACTTTGGGCCATGTTGGCTGCTGCGTAGAGATGGGAAATGGACTCGTCATCTCGTCTCCTTCTGTTGGTCGACCTTGCTCCTCCATTGTTGTTCCTCTTCCGAGTCCCTGAAAGTATAAAACTGGCACAATGTTAGTAAAACTTCAAAACAATGCAACAAATCACGAAAAGTTACTTACCACTTTGGGTCGACCTTACTCCTCCATCGTTGTTCCTCTTCCGAGTCCCTGAAAGTATAAAACTGGCACAATGTTAGTAAAACTTCAAATCAATGCAACAAATCACAAAAATTCACGTGAATAAAATCAGTACAACACAATTCATTGAAAAATCAGAAAACATTGACTGAATTCAGGAAGAAGAATGAGGGGGAAAGGGTAGGTGATGGTTAGTTATGTTAGAGTCAGCAGGGAGCAAAGGAAAGAAGGGAGAAAATCAAAAATACTTCCATGTAAGCTTCCTTTGCTGTTGCTGTGGCTCCTGGTGATGTTTCTTCTGAACTGTCTCAGCATCTCTGCTTCCTGTCAATTCAAAATCAAGAGGTCAAAGCCTGACAAAGCCAACACCAAATTGGAAAGCCAAAATATTGGGAAAAGGGGCAAAGAGGTCAAGTATGAATCATACCCGCACTTTCTGCTCATGAATGCTGTTAAACAGAAGAGGGAATACTCCTCACTTCAGGATCCTGGTCAGCCTCAACTTTCTTCTGCTCTTATAAAGAAAAAACAGACACATTAAAGGGGAGACACTCTCATTTCATATCAAGTATGAAACTTCATTTAAAAGCATAGATAATCAAAGATTATGAAGCTCACCTCGATGAATGATCAGTTTAAGTAATCCAAAATTCATATCATATTTCCTTAACAGTTAGTATTTATCCTGACAACAATATTCAAGCAAATTCTGTTTAAATAGGTTTTAAAATTCATTGAGGATTGACGTTTTCCAAATACTTGCACCTGGTCACTCGTTTGAAAAATGCAGGTCAGATCCAGCATCCAAAGCAAGTTTCAAATGTCCATCTTTAGATGCATCATCCATGCAAGTTTGGTCAGGGTAGGGCTGAGTTGGGAATAATTTCATCACTCATCTGGAAAATGTAGGTCAGATCAAGCATCTGAAGCAATTCTGGTAGTGTCCATTTCTAGATGCATCATCCATGCTTGTTTGGATCAGGTAGGACTTACAGTTTCTTGGAAATGGACCTGCACCCATAACTTTTACTAGGTCCATTATCTGGAAAATATATGTCTAACTCAGCATCTGAAGCAAATCAATTAGTGTGCATCCTAAGATGTATCATCCATGCAAGTTTGCTTAACAAAGTTACTTGAAAATGAAACCTATTTAAAAAAACAAGAGGCCCATGGGCCACATCGCTCACCTGAGCACTGTGGCTAGGTAAAAGTATACATTGGTTTATTCTTGAAAAAGTAAAATCCAAAAGTAGTT